CAAAAAAAAAAAAAAAAAAAAATATATATATATATATATATATATATATATATATATATATATATATATAGATATTTTTCACGTGTTTGTTTCACTAAGGTATACAGTCGGTTTAACTTTGCCGGTACCCTGTTCGATAACACTCTCTGGCACTAACTTCTATGATTGATATACTTTTAAGCTTACTGATTCAGTCGTGATTGAGGTCTGTACAGAATTAATGATAAAATTATATTAGGTAAGTGACTGTTGTTGATATGTAGATTATAACCTGTAAAAATACCAAACCAATTATATATATATATATATATATATATATATATATATATATATATATATAATATATATATATATATATATATATATATATATAAGGCAGATGAAATGTCGATCGTTTCGGCGTATTTTGGCCTACCACAATGCACTGCTTCCGGGCCGGCAGGCTATTCTTGCCTAATAAACAGGTATAAGGCAAACAAGCAATGTGATTATCTTTCATCTTTGGTTTTCTTTTATGGAAAGCCATAGCTGGCGTAAGTGATCAAACGGCATTTTGTCGATACGCAGTGGTTCGAGCGTTATACTCGGTGGTTTCGCTATTATACGCAGTGGTTCGAGCATTATACGTGGTGCTTTCGCCATTATACGCGGTGCGCTCGCCATTATACGCGCGGCAGTGGTTCGAACATTATACGCGGTGCTTTCGTCATTATACGGGGTGCTTTTAACATAATTTCCATATTCTTTCCATGTATATAATCTCACGATTGCTTAATAAATCTGGTAGGCCTATGTGGCTGTGCTTTTTGCCTCTGGTCTGCAATGACAATGACATGCTTTTAAAAAGGTTTATTTATAAAAAGGTGACTGCACTTTGTGAGTTCTTATATATTATCATATAGTGTTGATTTATTAGCAATAAATCTGTGTATATAACGTAGGTATATAAATTAATATAACGCAGCAAATGCGCGCCAAGCAGTATAAACGCGGCTGAAATACGATATTAAAATCTTGAATGTGCCGTATGATTTAATTATGTTTTCGGGATTTAATTAAAAGCCTTTAAAAATGAGGATACCTATTTACCGAGCCAAGGATTCGAGCTCGGAATCGAGCTCGGATTCGAGCTCGGAATTCGAGATCGGAATTCGATCTCGGATTCTATAGTAAGGTTAAGCTTGTTAAGAAAGATTTTATGCGGAATTCTTTGTTTGGCGTTAGTATATGAAGAGCAATATGGCGTTGCACAAGTTGCTTACAATCGCTATCTAAGCAATTAAAAAGAATGGAAGCACTGTACAGAAATTTTGGCTTGCCAGAGTCAGTACGCGGAAGGGGGGTTGAAGGTCATATGCGCAAGCTCTAGTCAGAGCCCGTTGTCGAATACAAGATAAGAATTTAAACATTTGGTTGAATAATCACGGAGCACTGGAATAAGGTCGAAGATTGGGATTATTCGAATCTGGGAAAAAAGAAGAACAGAAGGAGTAGAAAATTCAGCGACTATTATTATTATTATTATTATTATTATTATTATTATTACAACATCTTTATACACGGTAACTAATCAACCATATTACCTATCAGTATTTACAAAAATTATAAAGGTTGTTTTTCATTAGGCCGTGTTATTAAATACAAATTAAAACTCGCAATACTATTATATAAACTATTATAAAAATATTAAAAGATACTAAGAAATGTTTGGGTCGAAGCGATACGTTAAATATATATATTACAAAGTGAATTAAAGTGCCTATGCGACAATTTTTTTTATGATTGGATTGCAAAGTTCATTTAAAATCACAATATAACTTGTTTTCTAAAACATTGTAATCTTTCCTGTATGTCAAGATTTTCGACTTTGTTTGATATACAAATGTGACTTAAATGATTGACAGAAGACTGTGTTGTAGCTTGTTAAAATTCTCATTATCTCAAATTTACACTAGACGAAATGATCGCTTTGATAGCTCTTAAAGTGTGTCACTTTCAATGTCAGTGGAATTATCACATGTTTGGCAAGGAAACGTTTTCTTTCTAAAAATCATTATGCAGTGTGACGTAATTTAAGTCACATTTGTATATCAAACAAAGTCGAAAATCTTGATTTACAGGAAAGATTATAAAGTTTTAGATAACAAGTTATATTATGATTTTAAATGAACTTTGCAATTCAATCATAAAAAAAATTGTCGTATAGGCACTTTAAGCTGCAACTTAATTATTAGCTATCACCAGTGCTTATCACTATTTATATCCATGCCTTTCAATGCCTCATTTGAGGATCAGTGAATGTAAAATTGTGCGCGTATTCGCTGAATAAAATTCTGGTTAAAATTTTCCTGGTTAACTTAGAAACTAGGAGTTACATATATTCACCTGGCTGTCACTGCATTTCAGGGTATACTATATTTTTCGATAATGCTCACAATTTCTTTCTTATTATATAGTTTTTCAGTTCTGACTGGGTACAATCTTAAACATTACAATGAATGGTGTATTAATTAAACAATTAAACGTATTAATTAAACAATTAAGGCTGTTGAGGCCGACTCACGGATAAGATCAAATGAAAGTGACAGAAAAAATTAGAGCAGTTTGCAGCTGTTTTTGGAAACCGGGCACCATGCGAATCTTGCCATAAATTTCACCCACTTGTCGTGCTTCTTTTGCCAAATCAAAAGAACGAACGCGTGCTCCAGCCCGATTTCCGGTTCTGAAAGCCCGATTCGCAGGCAAACTGCGCGCAAAGCAGGTTGGTCATTTCCCATTGTTTAACTGCCCCACACTCATCGAGTAAAAAATGTCAACAAATAGATTTTGTCTCCCCATCAGCAAATTGTTCGGTTGTTCTGCAATAGGGGTAGGGTTGTGCCTTACATCAAGTATTAGTATTTTTGCACAAGTGAACATAACAAATCCTATTACAAGGTGATTGGTCAAATTTGACGTATTAATCTGTTATATTCACCTACAGGTGAATATAACAAAATCGAAATTTTCAAAATGGCGGCTAGCCGTTTTGTTGAAGTTAGTGATAAAGAAATAAGCGAAATTAAAATCAATTCAGACCAGAAAAACACAAAAAAACTTGTGCAAAAATACTAAAACAGTTATTCGCCTCAGGCTCGGTGAAATTCGTCTCGGCGAATATTCCCCGATAATCACCTCGCCTTCGGCGAATAATTGTTAATTATTATACGGTTACCTAATTACATACTTAGCCTAGACTATTTTATCTTCACGACAATTATATTACTTTTTTAACTGTGTTTATCCCAACCCACCCTGTCAACTTTCCCTGTAGGAGGAAACCGGAGAACCCGTAGAAAGCCGACGACTTTCGGCAGAGTGTTGATTAACTTTTTTCACATGGTTAATTCAACCAGGACGTCCTGTGGTTAAATGAACCAGACTATGTTACAGTATAGGTGGATAAATAACCAGAGTTCCTGGTCCACCTATATAACATGGTGTGGGTATTTTAACAAGGAGGTTACATAGGAAATGAGAGAAAATAACCAGGGAATTTAACCATGCAGGAATACTAAGTTAACCAAATATTTCTATAGGTTAATTAATTAACCAGGAAAATTAACCGGAGTGCTTTTAAGCCTGGTTTCAATATGCTCGTAAAAATAGAGTCACGATCTTTCTCAAAGGCCAGTTTATAATAGTTTATATACCTGTAAACCACATATAAATCATTCTCTCGTTATAATCATTCCGCGTATTTTCAGTTCTAAAATGTTGTATTTCGGCTGATGAGAAAGATCGTGACTCAATCTTTACGACCGTTCCGACCATATGGAAACCACGCTTTAGAGAATGAAGTGTACATTTCTATTTTCAAACGAATCATTTAAGAATAATTCATGTGACAAGCTGTTAATATTCATTTTGAATTTATACATTTAGCTATACAATTAAAAACACACGCGCTATATCGTTCTATGCCAATGTTTGGCCAAGATGTTTGTTCAATAATCGTCGCTATAAAAGGCCGACATACAGGTACTTAAAATGCGATTTCATCAATTTAAAAGTTAAAAAGAAGACTTACCCTCCCCACACACACGGCTGTATTGTTTAACATTGATGTAAGACCAAGACAACCGCCACGAAACTAAGGGAAATGTTTTATACTTGAAGTATTTGATATTTTTTACTGTTAATCTACATGTGCATATACAGGGGAAATTATGGTATATACTATATAGTCTATAGATTAGAATAGAAATGTCTGAGTGAAAGAGCAGCGGCGACTCTGGTACGTATGCAGTACTCAACAAAGGAGGAAATACCGTATTTCCTCTATTTAGTCCCCTTGGGGCTCGATGTTTCCAGTGGATGTTTCCCAGTGGTTCTGGGGTGGGGAATTATTAATAGAAAGGGGCAGGGGGGATAGAAGCTGGGAGTTAAATAACCTTTCACGTACTTGTAAAAAAAAAGTTACAGAACCATCATTAGAGGAACATTTTGAGCAATTTAGTCACATCAGTGAACTGTATATATATACAACGTAGTTTAATAAATAGAGGATGGGGCTTATTTTCATTTCGCGCTTCTGGACTGGGGGCTAATTAGAAGGGAGGCTAAAAAGAGGTGGTGCTAAATAGAGGAAATGCGGTATGTTAGCCACTGGAAGGATAAAATCAGCGCAATTTACCGTATTTATTGAACCGTGTTTAAATATTTTTTTAATATCATTGCGCCATCCATACTAACCTGTGATAAACATTGTAGACATCTTCTTGTAAAGCGATCCCAGATACACAACTTTTCTGAAATATCCAGGCTTGCTATGCGGGAGTATGTGCACACAATTGCCTCAATTGAGGCAGAGTGTACGGAAGAAAAACGATTACTTTCACCAGATACTAGACTCCACAATCGGATTTCTCCATCGTCGCAGCCACTAATGGCACCAACATCACGCTGTAATGATAGAAACGTGATTTTTAAAGGTATTGGTACTGTAAATATTGAGATTTTTGGGTATCTTGCTCGATAGAATTAAGATATCAAGCAAGATGCGCCCCAATATCTCGATATTTACCACTGATATTTAACAATATTCACCTACATGTGAATATAACAAAACAGAAATTTTCAAAATGGCGGCTACCCGTTTTGTGGAAGTTGACTGACAAAGAAATAAGCGAAATTAAAATAAATTCAGTCTCAAAAAACACAAAAGCTTGTGTAAAAATACTAAAACAATAAATATTATATTCACCTGTAGGTGAATAATTGTTTTAATATTTTTACACAAGCTTTTGTGTTTTTTGAGACTGAATTTATTTTAATTTCGCTTATTTTTTTTGTCAGTCAACTTCCACAAAACGGGTAGCCGCCATTTTGAAAATTTCTGTTTTGTTATATTCACCTGTAGGTGAATATAACAGCTTAATACGTCAAATTTGACCAATCAACTTGTAGGATTTGTTATGTTCACTTGTGTAAAAATACTAATTACCCATATCTTATACTAGGAGGTAGTCAGAGGGCCTATACTTGTATTTTTCGCAACTGCTCCTGCATGGTTAGGTCTAAAATTGTATATAATCTTCCGCTCGAAATTTCCATCGACTTAAAGGCACAGTTCAGCCTTTTGAATGATGGTTTTTAAGGCGCATTTAATTATTCCTAACTATAGGAAAATCAATTATACATAATTCAAGAACAGCAAACTCGATGTTTTTAACAATAAAAATGTTTTAAAATGTTGAAAACATTAAGTTTGCTGATCTTGAATTATGCTTAATTGATTTTCCTAGTTAGTTTTTTTCAATAGACCTTTATAAAAAGGTTGACGTCAGCAGGATTGTGACGTAGTTTGCGGAGAAAATCCCGAAAGCTCAGAGTTGTCAGTGGTTGTTTACTTGTTTTGAGTTTTTTAAAAGCCAAAAGAAGCCAGTATTATGGTAAGTTTGAAGTGAATTTTTCTATATATAGGCCAAATGAGTTTTCATATTCGTCGGAGTTTAAATTTTATTTGTTTTTATATTAGATTGTACATTTATTTTACTGTCAACATTTAGCAAATTGTTCGCTAGGTCTGTTTACATATATTTCGTCGCTAAAAAGTATAATTTTTCATTTTTGTTTCTCGAATTCATCAGTCTAATCATCAGAATGGCCCCAATTAAGCTGTAGACAGCAATACACAGGCTCAGTGATCGTGCAAAGAGGTACATAAGTCTTAGAACTTAGACATATAAACTAAGACTATAAAGTCTATTATTTTATCGATATACAGTATGTTGTCCAATTTTCGGACAGTACCACTATTCGGACGAAATATATTTATCGCCAAATTGTTTTATGAAGAATAGCAAAAAAATAAAAATCAATACGTTCAGATGATTGCCCGATATGTCCTGAATTTTGCTCTATATTTTCGACGTTTTTGCTGTTGTTTTGTGCAAACGTGAACACTTCGAGTAAAGGTCAGTCGAAAATATTTTCTTAAAAATGGCGTAGTTCACGACAGCGCGATAAGACAAGTACACTTCAGGAGATGTTCTGTGAAAATATACTGCCGAATGATTATTTTTTAGTTGAAGGGATGGTTATATAAACCGAAAATTTTACCACAACAATAATTTTTGCTACTGTCATAAAATTTAAGAAGTTTCGGACTTTTAAATTAAGAAACAATTTTTGAGGAGCTTATCAATACTCGGACGATGGCTTAGAGTTGACAATCTTATGACTAAAATCACGAGTATATTTAACAGAATTATATATTTGAAATGTTTAAAGAGTGTACAAGTTGTTTATGTTTTGATAAACTTTCGATTTCGATAATTTTGTTGACTTTAGTTCAATGCGAGTTCTGATATTATTATGTGAATCTATCCACCGGGAATTGTATATATCTTAAAGTGAGCTTTAGTTGCGAGTAACCTGACTGAAATTTCATACTAGAATATGGTTCAAAAAATCATGACATTTATTTCTATAACATAATCAAGCCTTAAATTCCAGTATTTATCAAAATACAGCTTACCTTCGAGAGAAAAACGGCTATTATTATAAGTGTCCGAATAGCGGACCAGCTGTCCGAAATGTGGTGATGAAAATGAAGTACTTGTTTTCGATATTGCAGAAAAAATAAAGAATTTTAGCGATGTATCTCGTAGAGTAATGTAGCCATGGGAAGTGGTCGTCATCTGTACAAATTTGAACCTGCTAACCATCTTAAATCGCAAAATATAGTGTGAAAACACTTTACTGTCCGAAAATTGGACAACATACTGTATAGCTGAAGTGAACATACATGACAAGTAGCTTTTATCAATCGTGTATAACACTTTCCGTGTCTGGGTCTACAATCTAGCTTTAATTTTCTACAAAGGTTTTGCCAGGTTGTACAATTCTGATGATTAGACTGATGAATTTAAGAAACAAAAAAGAAAAAATATACTTTTTAGCAACGAAATATGTAAACAAACCGAGCGAACAATTTGCTAAATGTTGACAGTAAAATAAATGTACAATCTAATATAAAAACAAATAAAATTTAAACTCTAACGAATATGAAAACTTATTTGGCCTATATATAGAAAAAAATTACTTCAAACTTACCATAATACTGGCTTCTTTTCGCTTTTAAAAAACTCAAAACAAAGTAAACAACTCTGAGCCACAGAATAGGAAGTTATACCAGAAGCGTAACTCTAGTCGTTTCCCTTATTGTTTGACGTCCACGAAAATTTTAACTCGCTCACGTCAGGCCACGCCATCCTGGCTAGTACAGCCGGAAGTTTTTATCAGGATTTGATAGGTACAAAGTGCCGGTTGTACTAGCCAGGATGGCGTGATTGATGACGAATCGCTTGTAAAAACGTGGACAAATATTTGCTCGAGTTACGCTTCTGGTATAACTTTCTATTCTGTGTCTGAGCTTTCGGGATTTTCTCCGCAAACTACGTCACAAGCCTGCTGACGTCAACCTTTTTATAAAGGTCTATTAAAAAGGCTGAAATGCGGCTTAGAAACCATCGTTCAAAAGTCTGAACCGTGCCTTTAAATCCTTCGCATTTTTTCAGTGCTCTGCACTGAGTAGTTAACGTAACCTAAATCATAAACATTTCTGTAAGCACTCCTTGATTTTTGTGGCAGTAATACGCATTGGTAATATGCCGTATCCGACAGCGACACGCATGGGTTTTCCTTGATTGCCATCCCAACCCGCGCGATCAAATAAGTTACATAATCTTACTGTACCTCTGTCGTGAGTGCTGTAACAGGAGTGCTGTGACCTCGTAAGGTGAAAAGACAAACGCCAGTTTGTGGTCGAAATACCTATAAAGGTGAAGGTATTATTAGATAAGCTGTACAAGGAATGAGGAAAGGATGATATTGTAGCAGCTCCCAATTAATCGACTGTTCGATTGATGATTTTGGGGTTTTAATTGATGATTTTGGGGTTTTTTTCACAATCGATTACACTCAGCAATAACCGGAGTAATCTGGGCCTTTACAGTACCATTTAGAAGTGTCAACATAAACTAAACCTCGTCATTGTCTTGTCAGTTGTCTACTTGTGTGAAAGCTGCGTGCGCGAGAAAGTGTGCAAACTACAATCTTGAGTAAACAATAATTCCAAACGTAAATACCGACTGAATTGTTGGGTGACAACAAGGGAGGCGCATGTCAAATTTAAATCGATTAATCAATACGATTAATCGATATTAATTGATTGTTAATAACGTTTTATCGATTATGAAAATGAACCAATGGGACCAGCTCTACTCACAGTGAAACCTATGCAACTTTGTTACCAGGGTCCTTCCTTCTCCACAAGAGGAAAGAGCCTGGGAACAGAAATTGTAGGTTCTGGTAATCTGCAAATGGTCTTTGGCAACTAAAGATGTGCTTATTACCTTAAGCAGGTTATCATAACTTCCAGAAACAACAAGATCTTTGTAAGTTGCAAGAACGCTGATTGTTTTGCTATGAGCTCGACGAGAATGACAAGGGAATTGATCATGTGACACACTATTAATGATAGTCTTCCACGACGATGGGTTAGAATGAGTCTTCCTGCGCATGCTTGGTAGTACAACATTCTCTGTATCAACGTTATGTGAGAGTCGATCTCCAAGTTCGAGAAATTCAAGGGCACCATTCAGTCGACTTACGACAAGGATTTTGCTAAAAAACATGAAGAAAATGGTTATCAGTTAAGACAAGTAGGTACATTTTGAGGCAGATTTTTAGGGTTCCGTTATCATCCGGTGTATGTAAATCATTAAATATTCAGGATGCGACACTGATCATATCACAAAAGTCACACCAAGGGTTACGTCTTGGTAAAAAGTTCATCCTTCGCAGCATCTTTAATTTAAGAGTCAGAAAGAACCGTCCATTAACTATCTGTGGGTTTGGTTACTTGGTATCGACGAAAAATCGATTTCTTTCACTCATTTCGTTCAATATTCTTCTTAGGTATTAAAAACGGTATTGTTTACGTTCGCTAAATTTAGCA